TATTGCGTAGTTAATCGAACGTGATAGAAAACAAAAATAAATTGAAGTACACTATATAATTTTTTTAAATATTATTTTCTGTTTTTCCTATGCATATATGTTAAGGTTATTTTCAATCAGTATTGATGATGTGTTTTGTATGCAAGTGGATAAACTTAGGTGCCGGGTTCAACTATATAGATCTATTATAACTATACTAGATTTTTAGTAATAACAAAGTAAAATGAAATTCACTAGTTTTCGTGGTCCGCTTGACCAACTAATATCTTTCAATTAATTAAGGATTTTAGTTGAGATAAAAAAGTCAGTGTCACGAGTGGGATTCGAACCCACGATCTTCGGCTAGATACCTCGCTGCTCTACCACTTGAGCTATCATGACCTCGATCGTAATAAACATTAAATACCTACATATAAAGTTACAAAAAGACGCTATCAATAAATTCTACCGGAAAAAGTTTTGGATTCATTTTAACCCGTTCCCTCCTTCGGAAGTTAGTTTGTTCCGTCATGGATCTGACAGATCCACTCCCGGTTTTTTTTCAAACCACTATATTTCAGTTTTGTGTGTAATTTACTTTTATGTTTACTATTCTGAGGTATTTAGAGGGTCCGATGAAGATTAAAATATTCCAGCAAAATACTTTTGTTAAAATGAAAATAATTTTTCCGTTTGCCATGTGCATTTGCTTAGTTTAGCACTGTCATTCCTACCAGTTTTTTCACAACTAAAATGATACCTTACACTTGTGATAGTAAAAAATAAAAGAAGCTCTTAGTTTTTTACAGCATTCCGATAAACACAAGTGTCGCAAAGGCAGGTAGGTTTGGTTTCTTCATCATCAGAAATATCGCCAAAATTAGCTTCTTCCTCACTGAGTTCATTCTGCAACATTAAAATTCGTTCGGAAAAATTTGGACCTTCCCTCGTAAAAGGTTCTCTTGAAGGACCAGGTTGATCTCTGCAAATATCAAGAGAATAGATATTCACATTGAAAATTTAGAAAACTAAAATAGACCCAAGAAATATGTTAGTTTATTTCATCATGGGCCTGAGAGATCCTTGAAAATATAGTGAGCGTTCAATCTGGGTTTGAGAGACCCAGTAACTGTTTACAAAACAGATACCTGGAGTCGTCGAACTCCGGCTATGGAAGAGCTATGGGGGCAATGGGTGACCCATCTTTTCAACGGTTGTCATAACTGGTAGAATCCAAAGGGGTTATGAATGTTGACAGGAAACTATAGGACATGGACGACAAAAAATTGACTCTGGTTGATCCAGTACAAAAATGACTATTTTTCATTTGTTATAAAAATTTCTAATTAAATGATTCAAAGGTGCTTAAAAGAATCCGGGTCTTTTTTAAACAATTTTTTGTTCTATTTATTTTCTAGCGTCTTTTCGTTTTTGTAACATTTCATGGACCTATCTTACTATTTAATACCTCTTTGAATATTATTTTGTAATCCTAGCTGAAAAAAAAAATCAACTGATATATAAAAACTTTGATATGCACGCATAAAAGGGAAGAAACCCATGTTTTAAAAAAATGTTAAAACTACCTAATTATTTTCCTCGGCTCCTACGATGCAGGCAATGGTAAGAAATTTCGATGATGTGCCTAATAGTTTTTGACCTAATATCTCCAAATTTCATTTAAATACGTCTTTCCACGACCGTTGGCTCCCCTGTTAGGTTTTTGTCCAGAAGAAAAATGTTAAGGTAAAAAATGGTTAGGTTAATCGCGATGGAGGAAGAAAAGCAAAACCAAGTCTGCGCTTTTTCCATAACAAGGGGGGGGGGGGGTGATGATTTGATATGAAGTTATGCTAGACAGATTATTAAGACTTGACTCATTAGAATTTCATCCCTCCTCTGCGAATAATAATGAACTTATCTCGTCTTGTTATCGTATAAAGCTAAACGACTGTATAAATCATCCTTTATCGTATGAATACAATCAAATCTATGTACAAAAAATTAAAGTGTGGAATGGAAAAAATTTGTTTTCTTCAAACATAATCAATTATTTTGATAGTATAGCGACTAAGATAAAAAGAATGCTTCCTGTTTATCATATTTGCAACAAACGTTTAAATACAAAAGTTTTTTTCAGAGAAAATTTCACCATTAAGTCAAGCAAAACACTGATTTGATAAAGGTTTGTGAATATCGATTTAACGACATGGCCAGGTCAAATATTTAGCATTCATTACCACAGACGGAAGTGCGCCTAATACGCATGCATCATCGACTAAACGGATGTTTTTTGTTCAAATTCTTATCGTTATTTCCCTGGGGGTTTTCCTTCTCAGCATACCAAAGAGGTAAAACACAAAATACATTGACTTCCGATTACAATTTTTCTCAACAAAATCACTTGGTATCTTATAAAATGCCTGATTCATTGATTTACGTTGACAGGACGTGAGAAATATGATTTATTAAGGCTAGAGTTGAACATAAAAATATCAAGTCGTCACGACTCCAAGGTTTTTCCAGACATTGCCAATCCCTGAGAAGATTTAAGGGTCACACGTTAATCAGGATGTGACGACATACATATGTGGGCGAAAACAAAAGTTAAAAAAAGATCCTCCGATTTTTTCCGCTGGATACGAGTATATGAAATACATATCCTTCAATTTTACAAAATCCTATTTCAATAATTCATCAATTTTCTATGCAGAACTAGTGAATTTGCTACACTATTATATTATATTCCCTTTTTGTATGAGGTGACTTGATGTTGGCAGTTTTAACTTAAATGACCGAACTCCCGGTTATGTTCACATCACCAGAAATTTACAAAAATGCGCGACATATTTGAAATAGTTATTCTTATTAAAATACTTAATAATTATTTATCCAGTTAGTCTAGCTCCACCATCATTTAAGAGGTCTATCGTGTTTACCTTTGTTAAGAATGGTGACGTCAATGACGTAATTACAGGGGAATTTCAGGAAATTGACATTTTGCCACAATATTTTTGATGCAATATAGTTTTCTGTCTTTGTTCTACATGTATTAAAAGGTTATTATACGTCAGTGCATTCGCCTTTTTAAGTAGAATAAGAAAACAGGCTGTAATAAATCAGATAAGATGTATAAAAATGTATGAACACCAAAACACGCTTCTCGTAAAGTAGGCCAAAAAAACCTCGGGAAAAAATAAATCGGATTTGTTTTAAGCACCCTTTTTTAGGTTCAAAGCTGGCTGAAACTTCTTGATAAATATCGGTCGCGTAAAAGTTCTTTTCATTCACGAATCGACTGCCAATTGACTTGGGAGATCCGAGTTGGCTATTTGAAAGGGGCGAATATATTCTAACTAAATTTCACCCCCAAGGGTTAGAAGGAGGGTGAAGCTTATCATTCTGTCATGTGTGACTAGAAGATAGGGGATGTGGTTCTTTCTTGAATTAAAGCCCTATTATGTGCTTTTCGAAAAAAATTCGGAGGCATTTGAAAGGTGAAATTTTTTTTGAAAAACTTTTTTACACAAATTTGTTTGCAGGGGTACTTGGAAGTGCAGAAAACGAATCCGTCTCAAATTTATTTCTGGGTAAAAAAATATTTAAATATACTTGCTACGCCATTCGGTCACAACATATTTGTGTAGTGTATTTCAGCAGATAGATTTAATTTGGTCATCTTCAGATTGATTATTTTCGTTGTTAATTGCTTCGTCCTTTCCTTTTAGTTAGTTCTTACGTATCTGCTTGTGTATTGCTTGTTACTTTATGTTTATAATATATAAATTCATAATTATTGTTAGATAAAGCATCGTATTATTTATTAGTAATACAAAAACGCAAAATGTATAATATTCTATTTGGGCATAGTACTTTTCAACGTGAAAAGGCGCATGCTCCCTGCCCGAATTCCACCATAAATAATCGGAAGTGTGATGTAATCTGTGAACGTGATACTGTCATCGGACGTTTCAAAGTCAAAACAACTTTTGCTTCAAAATACAACTCTGGAACCTCAGGATGGACGTTAATTTACTCGAAAGTGGTTTAAAAATGGACTTTTTACATATGGAAATTGGACAGATAAAGGCATTAATCGTCAACTGGAAGGTCATCGGTCAAAGTGTTTGTAATTCAAAACGGCCGATTTGTTATTGTAATCGTTTTGTCCTAGAACGTCGGATTTTTAAAGACAACGGTTGTTCAACGAAGACGAATTTAAAAGCCGAGAAGAAGAAGAAGAACAAATATCTGCGGTTCTTTTCGCTAAACCGGCAACTGACCCTGGAGTAAATTGCCTCCTACATTCATTTTCCGAATAAAACTTCTATTGACAATGTCGACGATCGATGAGGATAAATAGGACATTTTAGCCGAAATATATTTCTAAAACCTTGTTTATTTAGACGCAATTGTTAACAAAGGCTTAATTAAAACACAAAAGTTGTTGAAATGCGAATTCTCAACTGTTGAAAGATATATTATATAGGAGCCGGCCTATTTACGTTCTGTGCACGGCGTAGAAATAAGAAGTTAAATATTCCACAATTATAACAAAATTATTCTACAGTTCACCGGCATTTTTCATATGTGCCTATCAGAAACATAATTAGAAGTATAAAGCTTCGTCGACCACGGCTCATAAACTCTTGTGCAATTTTCCGTTCTAACCATATTAACATGTGATGCGATATCCGCTTGATAAGGCAAATTAACAGAATAAGTTTTCTTTCAGTTTTTAATGAATCGCCAAGCGGTTATTGTAAAAAAAAATGAAAGAAATTGAGAGAAAAATTTTATTAATCGGGCGTTACAAGTTCCAATTTTCTTTGGACTTGGAGGTTCGCTTTTAACGCTGACCTATGCCAAAGGAGGAGCCGATAAAACCCGGACGGCTAAGTTGCCGAATTACTAGATCACCCGACGTCAATAACAACTTCGCCCAACAATCTCAAGACATCTCAGCACGTTAAATCTAGTTACGCTTTAGTCGCTTGAAATACAGTATGAAAAGTGCTTACTTTTGTTATTGGCGATGACGACGGAACCCCTGAGAATGATGAAAGATTTGAACTTAAGAGTTTTAAGATCGGGCATTTGAAATACGATGAAACTGTAGTCGAGGAAGAGCTTCTCCCCTCGAATAACGGCCAAGTTCGGGAACACTTCTCCGAGGGAAGTGAGCCCATTGACCTGGTAGAAAAGGACGTACTCTGTCACTTCACGCAGGTCCGGGAACGTCACATTTTCAAAGTCTTGCTGAGACGATTTGTCAATAAGGACAATCTGGAAAAGATATATATATATATATAAAAAAAGACGTTTCTTAATAATGGAAATAGAAAGAATGAAGAGTAAAGGATTGAAAACTCACGTGCAGAAACCCGTCAATAACGGAGCAACCGCGCAAGAGGTTGAAGTTCGTCACATTGTTCCGAATGTCCATGCTGGGACAGGTGCGGCCCATTACGGTTGAAGAGAGAGCTATCGTCAACAGCCACCATATTCTCCAGAACGCAAGTAACATCACCTGGAGTTAAAATGGTAATAACAGTCAAATAGTGAAAAAAATACCAAGAGAGGAAATGATTCCGGTTACGATGCCGGACCGAGAATGGATCGACGACGGTACTTATCAGAGGTCAAGAGTCAAAAGGAGTCGAAGGTGACCAATTGAGAGTATTACTTTTTATGTGCTAAATGTTATCAGTTGAAATCTCGCTAAATATTACTGTCAATCATTATTAAAATTGATATTTGAGTTTTTACAAGATTGGAAAAGTCGTTTCATCCATTACACCAAAATCTACCGCGACATTTTCGTAGTTAAAACGTTAGTAAAACTCCCTATAGATTTTTTGAAATCCCATATACTTACAACTCAAAAACCTTTACACAAAAAATTTCTTAAAATCATCTTCAAATTGTCGCTTTGATTTATAAGTAATATACCCAGTTTTCTTTGAAACAACAAACAAGTTAGTTAATAATAAAACGCAATTTACATTATTAAGTTTTACAATTTGAAAATAGCCATCAATCGGGTATGGAATGTTAAGTGCCCTATTTCTTACCTACTACCTGATCCTAAAATCCCACCAAACTTACAAATACTTTCAAGTCGTGTGTGGTTCCTCTCTATCAGCGGGCTATCGCGCAGATGCAAGGGACCTACCACAAGGAAGTATCTTAGGACCACCCTCCAAACAGCATACATTCCTACCCTTCCTGAAACGATCTTCACCACTTACGCGGATGATACCCTATCCCTTGTTCTCATAACGATCCTGTAATCTCAACCAGAAAACTGCAAACCCATGTCACATCTCGTGAGCAGTGGTTCAAGCGATGGAAGAAGACAATAAACATACAAAAATGTGATGTAGCGATTCTCTTGAAAGGATCACAGATAAACGGACGATAGAAGTTGTTAAGGATCAGTTCAAGATTTCACCCCCGAATAATTCTGCCTGAAAACCTTGTCATAAAATGCTACTTGGTGTAGTTTCATCGTGATTAAACGACACAAGACTATTTACTAAATTCACTAATTCCGTGGTCCACTTGACCAATTAATACATTACAATTAATTAAGTTAATGTATTTAGTTGAGATGAAAAAAAGTTAATGGCACGAGCGGGATTCGAACCCACGATCTTCGGCTAGATACGCCGCTGCTCTACCATTTGAGCTATCGTGACCTCGATCCAATCGGACATCAACTTCCTATCTCAACCCCACTTTATGAGTTTTCCCTCCTTTTTGCCATTTTTCAAATGTCGTGTAATCGGATTGGATTCTCGACGACAAATGAAATAGCCACGGAGAGCTTTAGAGAAGTGTACTTCATTTTAATCGTTAAATTCACTAATTTCGTGGTCCGCTTGACCAATTAATACATTACAATTAATTAAGGTTTTTAGTTGAGATGAAAAAAAGTTAATGGCACGAGCGGGATTCGAACCCGCGATCTTCGGCTAGATACGCCGCTGCTCTACCACTTGAGCTATCGCGACCTCGATCCACTCGGACATCAACTCCACCTTATGAGTTTTCTCTCCTTTTTCCATTTTTCACTATTTACTAAGACATTTCAAGCTGCATTTCTAATTAAGCATCCTGCTTTCAGTTCCATTAGTATATTTTGATAGATGGAGGAGCACGCGAGTGCTGTAATATTGATTGACGTTATATTTAAACAGAATTATTGCGATAATTATATGGTTTTTCTAGAAAATTTCACTGTACATTCCAAATTATTTCGTGTTTGTCAACTGTTTTTCACTTAAGCAAAAGGTTTACCCACGTTATAACACTCCAGTTTGAAAAATCTGACTTCAAGAGCTTTAAAAAAGACAGTAAATCCGGCTTACAGAATGTTCCCTTCTAATTTCGCTCCCCCGCGTCACAAACGAAGTATATCTCTTTGGCTTTTCCTCACCCCCGCCTCTAATAAGTTCTAACGATCAAAACAACTCGTTAACATGGTCCCCAAAGAGAAAATGCCTTGTGGTAAAATAATCCCGATGAAGAGTAGTTCGTCATGTTTTTGATTTCATATTTTGAAAAGAGAATCTTCCGAGACTACAACACAAAATCTTCCCTGAATATCTTCCTTTTATCAACTTAAAAATGTATTGACTTGGAAAGTTATTATCTGATACATTTCTTCCGACTTTGGGTGACTTTGTATACTTCGAACATGAAGATAAAATCACAATGTGATTTTTCGACAACACATTCAACAAGATCCTTTGGCGATACTGGTAATGTAAGGCGAGCCAAAGGTACTATTTGTTTATTTCAGATCAACTGAAAGGAAAAAAAGGCGTTGAATATAAAATGCCTATAACTCGACTCAGACATAAAAAAAGAAGCGTGATAGGCAGGCAAATATGGCCGGAAAAACCAAGGTAGTGCTTTTTAAATATTACATACAATTAGAATCTTTAAAAAAACACAAACAAGGAAATGGACAGAAGAAACCCCGAAGATGGCAAATGATAAAACGCGTTTGAAAGACAAAATCAGGGAAAATGGGCGGACGAGGATGATCAAGGCTCATTAACAAACTACATTAAACTACACACCTTAAATAAAAAATAAAGATGACGGTTAATCAAGCAAGAAATAAAGCAAGATGTTCAAAATAAGATTTCGACCACATCAGAAACGTACAACCAACATAGAGAATGAACACTGGGAAATACCGAAACATATCTGAAAGATAGACTAGCAGGAATTATAGACAGGGATGATAGAGGATGATCAAGCAACAGATAAAGCAAGATGTTTAACCTACCTTTTAAAAAACCATCAGAACCTGTTGTACAAAGGACATACAACATGGAGAAACACATTGACTTATGAAGATCGGAAGTTACCGAAACACATCTGACAGACAAGTCTAGCAGGAATCATAGACAAGGATCATAGAAGGTGATCAAGTCACAGATAAAGAAGATGTTTATCCTAACTTTTAAAAAACCATCAGAACCTGTACAAAGAACATACAGCATGGAGAAACACATTGACTTATGAAGATCGGGAGATACCGAAACACATCTGACAAACAAGACTAGCATCTAGTTAGAATAGACTGTAGATGATCAAGCGACAGTAAATGCTAGATGTTCAACTTAACATTTCGATAGCCATCAGAACCTGTACAAGAATATACAACCCGGAGAAAAGCAAAGAGACGAATGAACGTTGCGAAATTCCGAAACAGGTCGGACAAACGATTAGCAGGAGTGACAATCAAGGAGGATGATAAGGCAACAGTTAAAGCTAGATGTTCAACCTCACATCTCGATAACCATGCAAGGAACATACAAAACGCATAAAAGCACATGGAAGCGAAGCGTCCCTTACAAATAACACAAACAAGAATACATACACAAATCAAGAAAATTCAGGCGCTTTCGAGTACAAGTTGATCTTTAAAAAAAGTCATTAACCACAGAAGAAGCCGGCTTGATCTACAAAACCAGTTGAAATACGATACACTGCCCAGGATAATCAGATATGATCAAACAATAAATAACACTTATTTGAACTAAAATTTCGATTCCGAAACTAAAATTCCTTTACAAAGGACAAACAGCGCGGAGAAATAGGCAGACGAATGACGATGGGAAGAAACACAGATGGACAGACAGATAAATGAAGATTAGGAAGTCTGACAACCAAAGATCAAGAAAATTCGGAGGAACTCGAGTTACAGGGAGCTGTTTAACCTATGATGTATGTAAAAGACATTACATGGAGATACGCACAGCCTAACCACTGAAATAAGTCGAAATCTCTGATGTGCCCGTGCTTGCGTTGACTTAGATGAGGGACGACAGGCATTATTATAGTCTACAGAAATGAATTTGTTTGATAAAGAGAAAAAACGGATAAAAACAGTTCGCCTGAAGGTTTTTGAACCATCGAAGTCCAAGGTTTTCTATTATAAATTTACTTCCGAGGCTATGTGTACAATGTCTAGATTTTGTTGTTGAATAATTTGCATAATGCATACATTTAATTTTTATACCCTGAGTTATGCAACAATGTAAATTTGACGTTTTACCTTTTAAAAAGACACTTCAATCAATGAACCGGTGAAATTACTCTCTGGTGAAATTTTGAATAATTCGTAATAAAGTCCAAAACCATATCAGAAATTGTTTCACGTCGTTTTTAAACTGAGGTTGAGGCTTCACAAATATTCTTGTTACAACTGTTAAACGGAGTTTGGCGAGCGGGCTCGAAATCAAATGAAGCCAGACGTGCGATTGATAAGCATTACTGCTGTTTCTCCATTATAAAGCAGAGACCGTCGAACCTTTTTTTTCTATACTCAAAAATAACATACATTTTATCATCTTATCGCATTCCTACCTGTTGATTAGTACGAAACAATAGTTCTCGTTGTTTTTAACAATGAAATCGCAAATATTTGTTTTATTATAGCTCTTTTTTTTTAAAGTTGCTGTTTTTTCAAACAATGTTTGTTTAAAAAGTAAATCCTAACATTTTTTTTAAATTTTCATAAGGGTAATTTCAGAAATTGTATACGGCAATATTATGAGTTTTATCAAAGGTTGAAGCCTTTGGTCTCAACTGATTTAAACTTTATTTTATTTGGGAAACTTTTCGCTTACATTGTAACCATCTTTAGCCTTATCCCTTACAGAAATTCCACCAAAAACGATTCTCCAAAAAAATTAATTTTATTTAAAAATTTATTTCTGGGTATCTGTCCCCCGCTTCACTACGTATATCACCAAAATGTAAAATTACTAATTAAAAATTAATTAAAAAACTATATTATGATAACTTGATTGGTATTCATATTTTTCGACAATAGGTTATTAGTAGAAATTTACTGGTTGACACCCTCTATCCTTCTTTGGAATAGAGGGGGTACTAAGATTTTTAAAAAAACATTCCTTGGTAGAAATGACAAATGATGGAGTGAGTGTGGTGTTCAATCCTTTTTAAAAAAGATAGTTCCTACTCCTAACTGTGTTGAAGGACTTC